TATGTTGCCCAGGCTGGTCTTGAACTCCTGGGTTCAAGCGATCATCCTGCCTTGGCCTCCCGAAGTGCTGGGATTACAGGCATGAGCCAGTGCACGCTGCCAAGCTTTGTGTTCTTGATGTAGAAGCTGGTAAAAAGGAAAAATACATTAAATAAATGAGTAAATAAAAGAAAGCAGGTGCCCAAATATGAATACCTGTGTTTATAATACTCCAGAGTAGCTTAAATGTGGAAACAACCCAAATGTCCACTGAATGGTTAAATAAAAAGTGGTAGGCTGGGCACGGTGGCTCACACCTGTAATCCCAACACTTTGGGAGGCTAGGAGGGGGATTGCTTCAGCTCTGGAGTTCGAGACCAACCTGGGCAACACCGCAAAACCTTGTCTCTACAAAATATACAAAAATTAGCTGGGTATAGTGGTGTGCGCCTGCAGTCCCAGATACTTGGGACGCTGAGGTGAAAGGACCACTTGAGCCCAAGAGGTCGAGGCTGCAGTGACCAGTGACTGCACCATTACACTCTAGCCTGGGCAACAAAGTGAGATCTTGTCTTAAAAAAGAAAGTAAATAAATAAATAATAAAATAAAATAGGCCAGACATGGTGGCTCATGCCTATAATCTCAGTGCTTTGGGAGGCCAAGGTGGGTGGATCACTTGAGGCCAGGAGTTCGAGACCAGCCTGGATAACATGGTGAAACACCGTCTCTACTAAAAATACAAAAAAAAAGTCTGGGTGCAGTGGCTCATGCCTGTAATCCCAGCACTTTGGGAGTCTGAGGTGGGAGGATCACCTGAGGTCAGGAGTTTGAGACCAGCCTGGCCAACATGGAGAAACCCCGTCTCTGCTAAAAATACAAAAAAAATTAGCCAGGTGTGGTGGCAGGTGCCTGTAATCCCAGCTACTTGGGAGGCTGAGGCAGGAGAATCAGTTGAACCCAGGAGGTGGTGTTTGCAGTGAGCTGAGATCACGCCATTGTACTCCAGTCTGGGCCACAAGAGTGAAAGTCCATCTCAAGCAATTCTCCTGCCTCAGCCTCCCGAGTAGCTGGGTCTACAGGCGCCCACCACCATGCCCAGCTAATTTTTCGTTTTTGTATTTTTAGTAGAGACAGGGTTTCACCGTGTTAGCCAGGATGGTCTCGATCTCCTGACCTCGTGATCTGCCCGCCTTGGCCTCCCAAAGTGCTGGAATTACAGGCATGAGCCACTGCGACCGGCCAATGGCATTATTTCTAACAGTTCCGAACTAGAACACAAATGTCTACGACAGTAGGATAGATAAATTGTGGTTCAACTGAAATATATACAGCAGTGAGAAAGAATTTACTATTGCTATACTCAACACAGGCATGAACCTCACATACTGATTAATGAAATAAGCCAAATAGTATCTACAGTTATAATTTCATTTGGAAGTTCAAAGACAAGCAAAACTAATCTATGATAATATAAATCAGAAATAGTGTTCTGATAATGTTTGTCCGTAGGGAGAAGGAAGGACTATTACTAGGAATGGGGGGCACTCTGAAGGGCTGGTAATGTTCTAATTCTTGTTCCGGGTGCTGTTACACAAGTGTTCACTTGGTGAAAACTCTCTTTCTCTCATGCACTTTTCTATGTTAATGCCATACCTCAATTTTAAGTTTGACATTTTTATGTCAATACCTTCTTTCTAACAAGGCAAGAACTGTAACACTTGTATGCTTTCTTGATCTCCTCTACTTGCCATTATGTTGTTACTGTCTAAAATTATAATTCTGGTTTATTGCTTTCTAAAAAATTCTTTCTCCCCCTATACACATGTTACCAAGGTATCTGAACACTGTTATCCCCATAGCTTTTGTAGTATCTTCTGGACTTTTTGTTGAGTATGTTTTTCCAAACTTTTTCAATGTGAATCATTGGCAAATCTTTTTCTTTTCTTGAGATAGAGTCTCGCTCTGTCACCAGGCTGCAGTGCAGTGGCCCGATCTTGGCTCACTGCAACCTCTGCCTTCTGGGTTCAAGCAATTCTCCTGCCTCAGCCTCCCGAGTAGCTGGGATTACAGGCGTGCGCCACCACACCCAGTTAATTTTTGTATTTTTAGTAGAGACAGGGTTTCACCATGTCAGCCAGGTTGGTCTTGATCTCTTGACCGAGTCATCTGCCTGCCTCAGCCTCCCAAAGTACCGGGATTACAGGCGTGAGCCACCGCACATGACCCGGCAAATCTTTTTTCATTTTAAAAAAAAATTTTCCAGTAGCTTTTGAAGTACAAGTGGTTTTCAGTTACATGGATGAACTGCATAGTGCTGAAGTCTAGGATTTTAGTGCACCAGTCACCCAAGTCACAAACATTGTATTCAATATGCAGTTTTTCATCCCCTCCCTGTTCCACCTTCTGGGTCTCCAATGTCCATTATACTACTCTGTATGCCTTTGCATACCCATTTATAAGCAATAACATGTGGTATCTGGCTTTTTTTTTTTCCTCTGGTTCCCAAGTTTTATTCATGAACTCATACAAAAAATTCCAGATAAATGAATTTTAATCCCTCATCTTCCTCCTCCTGTTTGTCCTGGCTAATTTGGAAGTAACATAATTCATAACTTTCTTCGCTGTTAGCAACTACATGCAACCAATCACACAGATTATTCTTCTTCAAATATTTTTTTTTTGTGAGATATTTCAAATACCTTTAGGAAAAAGTCGCCTCAGAAGTCATGGTGATCTTGCTCTTGGTCCGTTCCATGGTCACAACCCCTCCACCTAGATTCCCAGCTTTTCCATTCACTTTGATCCACTCTTGCAAAAACTGCTCAAAGTTAGCAGCATCCATGTTTCCATCTTCTACAGCAGGTGCAATTAAGAGTAAACTTCAGAACCTGATTCTTTCTTTTTTCTGCTCTGGTTTGCCACAAGCTTTTTCATGAGTGCCATGGTGGCAGTGGAAGCAAAAAGGGGTATCTGGGTTTTTTGTTTTCGTTTTTTGGTACCGAGTCTCACTTTGTTGCCCAGGCTAGAGTGCAGTGACACTATCTCGGCTCACTGCAATCTGCGCCTCCCAGGTTCAGGTAATTCTCCCTGCCTCAGCCGCCGAGTAGCTGGGATTACAGGCGCCTGCCACCATGCCCGGCTAATTTTTGCATTTTTAGTAGAGACAGCATTTTGCCACGTTGGCCAGGCTGGTCTCAAACTCCTGACCTCAGGTGATCTGCCCACCTCACCCTCCCAAAGTGCTGGGATTACAGGCGTGAGCCACTGTACCTGAATGTTATCTGGTTTTCAATTCCTGAGTTACTTCACTTAGAATAACAGCCTCCAGTTCCATACAAGTTGCTGCAAAATACATTATTTTATTCTTTTTGTGTGGCTGAGTAGCACTCCATGATACATGTGTACCACATTCTCTTTATCCACTCATTGATGGACACTCAGGTTTATTCTGTCTTTACAACTGTGAATTGTGCTGCAATGTGTGTAGGTGTTTTTCTGATACAGTGACTTCTTTTGGATAGAGATCTTTGGTAAATCTTAATGTTTTTATTATACTCACATTTGAATGACAATTTAGATTTAAACTTTAAGTCCAGTACCTTAAATACATTACTTTCCTGCACCCAGTATTGTTGAGAAGACTGAAGTCGATCTTATTCTTGTTCCTTTATACATTTACTCTAAAAGCTTTTAGATTTTTCTCATTTTCTTGATACTCTTAAATTTCAGTATGTCTCTCATTTGGCACCCTATGGCCCTTTCAATCTATATTTTTTTCCTCCTTCTAGGCCTCTTACCTGAATGTTGGCACACCTGCTTCTGGCTTCCATCTTGCTTAAATCCACTTTTGTATTTCCTATGTTATTATTATTATTTTTGCTTCCTTTTGGGGGTTTCTCAGCCTGATTTTCCAACTAATTTATTCTGCATCTGTATCTATCCTATTTTTCACTTTAGTTTTAATTTAATTTTATTTTTGAGACAGTCTTGCTCTGTCTCCCAGGCTGGAGTGCAGTGGCGTGATCTCGGCTCACTGCAACCTCCACCTCCCAGGTTCAGGCAATTCTCTGCCTCAGCCTCCTGAGTAGCTAGGAATACAGGCACCCACCACCATGCCCAGCTAATTTTGGTATTTTTAGTAGAGACACGGTTACACCATCTTGGCCAGGCTGGTCTTGAACTCCTGACCTCGTGATCCACCTGCTTCGGCCTCCCAAAGTGCTGGGATTACAGGCATGAGCCACTGCGCCTGGCCTGTATCCTACTTTTACTCCATTTATTGTTATTTATTTTAAATGTTTCATTATTTCTTGTATCACGCTGCTAACATCTTTTAATGTTTGTTAGTTTCATTTTAGATTCTGAAAGTCTTATGTAATCCAGTAGTATCTTTCAGTCATACTGTTTGTGAACTCACTTACCTGGTGGTATGAGATCTTCTGTGTGAGAGTATGCACTGGAGAAGGACTGATGGCCAACCCTCTAGTCGGTATTAAAGGTTCAAAGAGAGGGAAGGGACAAGCCCCATGCTGGAGAGCCCTAGCACAAAAATATCACTGCTATTTATTTCAATATGTAATCCTTTAGGACAGGGCTTCTTCCTTTGAACACCCTGAGAAAAATGGCAATGACGAGAGGCACTTCCTAGATTCTAGGGCCTAGATTATTAACTGAGAATTTCTGTGAGTCTGAAGGCAGAGGGGTGAAGAAGTAATGCCCAAGCTAATCAATCCTTACACCTGTTTTCTCCAAATCTTCACCCAAAAAGCTATTGTGCTACTCTGATTTTATCTGTGAGGACAACTGCAGCAGAGATACAGCTCACCATTCCGGTACTTGCTGTGAGAAGGCAGACAACAGCAATCAGTTTTCTCAAATAACCTACTCAGAGTCATTCAGCCAGCCACACCCCCACCAAGAACCACTTCAAAATTGCTCCCTATGTTCCCTGGGACTTTTACCTTTCTGATTTTTTAAATTATTACCTAAAAACAATAAAAGTAAAACATTCCAATCAAAATACAACAAAACTTTACATGGTTTTATTATACATAACTGTTATTGAAAGCAAACTTTATACAAAAAGTTTTATACAGATAAAAAAAAATCCTTGGCTAGATAAAGCCATTTTATGTGTGTGCATACACAGAAACACACATACATACATATACACACAGTATTTTACATCATCATTATACATATTTATAAATACATTATTTAAATTATTTTACAATATACCAAAACAAGGAGAGGCAATTATAAAAGCAAATAAAAAATGGTTGAACACTTGAACTAAATAGTCACTAAGTTTAAAATGCTACAAAACTATTTTTTTAATCTACAAAGTCATTTCTTTAAAATATCAAAACTAAGATTTCAATACATCACTGTTGCTTTCATTTTTATAAGTTCTAATGTGTTTAAAAATAAATATTTTGACCAAAAACAGATAAGCAAATCAGAGTGATGACTAGGACAAGCTGAACATGCTGATGTGAAATTAGAGTCACTGAGTAATTACAAATGTAGATTATCATCTGGTAATCAAAAAGGTGATAAACCTCCCTCTAGTGCTCATTTAAAACATGAGGAATTTGAAGCTTCTGTGTAGTATGCAATATCAATTAAGAGTCCCAGGAATTCAGCAACTTATCTGTAATGTAAGAAAATGCTAAAGTTATTATTCTATTTTTCTGATAGGACTATGTCATAATATGTTACCTTAAATGAGCTCCATTTAGACAATATTGGTGTTCAATAAACTAGCTTTCTCATCTTCCAATTGGTCTCAAAATTTAAAAAAAAACTAGCTTTTGCAATCAGTTTGGTAACTATCATTATACTTTGATATTGATAAAAATTTAATAAGACTATAGTACTTGTGGGGAAAAAAATCAGTTAAGAGGTAAGCTACCAATAAAATAACACACAATATATGCTATCCTGCAAGCAAAGAAAATCTCAAATATCAAATTCATTAAATGGTTTAAGATTTTTGGCCAGATGCAGTAGCTTATGCCTGTAATCCCAGCACTTTGGGAGGCCAAAGCAGATGGATCGCTTGAGTCCAGGAGTTCGAGACCAGCCTGGGCAACACAGCGAAACCCCATCTCTATTTAAAAGAATTTACATTCTCTTCACAAGAGAATCATAACATTAAGGTAAAAAAAAAGAAACTTGATTTAATTTCTTAAAGGCAGCAAAAATCTTAAAAAGCACAGTTAATCTAAAAGATAATCAAGTCACTGTTGCCCAGTTCTTTAGAATAAGCTTTTTTTAAAAAACGTTCTTTAGAATAAGCTTCTTCTCCAAATTCCCCATTATTTAAGCTTACATTCTGTTGTGTGCGTGTTTTGTTCAAGTGATTCTCCTGCCTCAGGCTCCCAGTAGGTGGGATTACAGGCATGTTCCACCATGCCCAGCTAATTTTTGTAATTTTGGTAGAGAGAAGTATCGTCATGTTGGCCGGGCTAGTCTCGAACTCCTGAACTCAGGTGATCCACCCACCTTAGCCTCCCAAAGTGCTCAGATTACAGGCATGAGCCACTGCACCCGGCCACATTCTGAATTATACAAAGAGAAATTTAACATTATAATCACTTGAACCCGAAAGGCAGAGGTTGCAGTGAGCTGCGACCATGCCACTGCACTCCAGCCTGGGCAACAGAGTGAGACTGTCTCAAAACAAACAAGCAAAAAAAGAAATTTAACATCATAGTAAACTACTACACAATTTTGAAGATCTCACTAGCACTGTGCTCCAAGTCCAAATCTAGTTTTTTTTTTTTTTCTTTTCTTTTCTTTCTGTGAAGGCAGAGTCTCACTCTGTCTTTCAGGCTGGAGTGTAGTGGTGCAATCTTGGCTCACCGCAACCTCTGCCTCCCAGGTTCAAGCGATTCTCATGCCTCAGACTCCCAAGTAGCTGGGATTACAGAAAGGTGCCGCCATGCCTAGCTAATTTTTGTATTTTTTTGTAGAGACGGGGTCATGTTGGCCAGGCTGGTACAGAACTCCTGGCCTCAAGTGATCCGCCCACCTCGGCCTCCCAAAGTGCTGGGATTACAGGCATGCCACTGTGCCTGGCTCTGTATGTCCAAATATAGTCTCTATTCAGATTTAATTCAAACTTCATTTAAAATTGCATGTTTTGCATTCAAATAATTAGGATAGCAAATCAATTAAAAATATTGTGATACATTAAATATTTTTAAAATTTTGCTTACATAAAAATCCAAAATATTTAAGCAATTGGCTGAGATCTTAGAGAAAAAACCTGCTGGTAATTTATTTACTTACTTAGGTTTTAGAGACTGGGTCTCACTATATTGCCCAGGTTGGAGTGTATTGGTTATTCACAGGCACAATCCTAGTATCGTAGCCTCAGATTTCTAGGCTCAAGCGATCCTCTTGCCTCAGCCTCTCGAGTAGCTGGGACTATAGGAGGGTACCACCACGCCCAGCCTTCTGCTGCTAATTTAAATATTATTGCTCTAATAAACCTGTATTGTACAAGAATGACTTGTACGACAAGTACAAAAACAAAAACTGAGGAAACACGTCTGTGAACATTAACAATTTAATATGGTAAATCATGTCATCAATTTAGATGACGATAGACTATGTTTTGTACTTTAATTAGCACTAATTAAAAATGTGAGAAATATTAAATTACCATCACTACACAGACTTCACTGCTTATGAACCACATACTGCTATTCAAGAACGTTTGATTTTATATTTATCTATAAAAACTTTATTATTAATCAAATGGATTTCCCCCCACCTTAGGCTCATCAGCAATCAGAAGGTTGAGGAGAGATGCCATGCTGATCTGAACTGCAGCAGGCTTCACTCTGAGCACGTCCCTGTGGATGAGGTCACCTTAGATGCCTGCTCGAGCAACCATCCTCCAACCTGTGACTGAAGCAGGAACTCAACTGGATGTCTCTCACCCACTATTCACATCTTCAATGACTAACAGGCCATTAACTGCACAACTACAGTGTCAAACATTTATTTTAGTAGTCTCCTGTAGTGTAACCATTAACTACCTGCATTTTGACTTTTCAAAGAGCTTCATTAGCTGCTGGAATCTTTCTGAGACCTGAAAATTTAAAAATGAGTGTTAATTATAAATACCTCGTAATCATTTCTCATCTTTGAAGAATACTTTCATAAGACAGCTAAAGACAGAAAAAGTCACCTTCAATAACAAAGAGGTAAAGTAATGTTTAGAAAAATATCTTCATGGCCGGGTGTGGTGGCTCATGCCTGTAATCCCAGCACTTTGGGAGGCCGAGGCAGGCGGATCATCTGAGGTCAGGAGTTCGACACCAGCCTGACCAACATGGAGAAACCCCGTCTCTACTAAAAATACAAAATTAGCCAGGCGTGGTGGTGCATGCCTGTAATCCCAGCTACTCGGGAGGCTAAGGCAGAAGAATCGCTTGAATCCAGGAGGCAGAGGTTGCAGTGAGCCAAGATCACGCCATTGCACTTCAGCCTGGGCAACAAGAGCGAAACTCCATTTCAAAAAAGAAAAAAATCTTCATACTAAAGGTGATTATTAGTTAATTTTTCAATACTGAACTTTTTTTTTTTTGAGATGGAGTTTCACTCTTGTTGCCCAGGTTGGACAATGGCGTGATCTCGGCTCACTGCAACCTCCGCCTCCCAGGTTCAAGTGATTCTCCTGCCTTAGCCTCCCGAGGAGCTGGGATTACAGGCATACGCCACCACGCCCAGCTAACTTTTTTGTATTTTTAGTAGAGATGGGGTTTCTCCGTGTTGGTCAGGCTGGTCTTGAACTCGCGACCTCAGGTGGTCCACCTGCCTCAGCCTCCCAAAGTGCTGGGATTACAGGTGTGAACCACCAGGCCCGGTCTTTTTTTTTTTTTTTTTTTCCCGGTCTTTTTTTT